CATGAATTTTTTTTCATATCTTGCTTAGTTTTTAAGAAAAAAAAGTCGACCTAATTGCATATCCCCGGAATACAAGGAATAATATGGGGAATTAAATGTTTCTTTTGGAAATTATTATTTTTACAATTTTTCATTACTAATTATGTAATGATAACAACAAATATTAAATAACATTAACATCTAGACTAACGAATTGCACTAAATTAAGTGATGGAAATTGCCTTCTTCGGCTTCAATACAACCGTCTAGCCGCCGCGCCGCATCATTAAATTTCGCACTCTTCTGAAAATACCATAAATAATAATCAAGGGTTGCCTTGGAAAACGATTGCAGCATTTAATAAACAATTTGATAGTTGTTGTCAACTTTATAAGCTTTTAATTTATAATTGTTATAAAAAGTGTGTTTAGTGGTTATTTTTCGAACCATTTTTGTAAAACATGGTTCAATTTACTAACAGTGAAATGGCAGATATGCATTTCTGTTATGGAATGGCTCACGGAAACTGGAATGCTGCAAGACGCATTCACCATGAAATATTTCCTCAACGTGTAGTGCCTAATAGAAGAACTTTTGTACGTCGCCATGCACGACTTTCTGAAAAAGGCAGCTATAAAAGATCGACGGTTGTCATTAGGAGGCCTGCAATGGTACGAACAGTTCAAATTGAGGACGCTGTTTTAAATGAGATTGAAGTAAATCCTCATACCAGTACTCGGAAAATAGATGAAGAACTGAATATTACCCATGTCACAGTGTGGCAGATTTTAAGAGCCCAGTAGCCGTATCCCTATCACATGCAACGTGTGAAAGCTCAATTGCCCAGAGATTTCCCTGTGAGACTAGCTTTTTCTAATTGGTTACGCGGTAAAATAAGAAGAAATCCAGGTTTCCTAAGTCAAATATTGTTTACAGATGAAGCTTGTTTTCTCGCAATTCAATTATTAACTTCCATAACAATCACATTTGGGCCGAAAACAATCCACACGCCTTGATAAAAAATAATTTTCAAGAACAGTTTTCTTTTAATATTTGGGTTGAAATTGCCGTTGACCATCTCATTGTGCCTCACTTCCTTCCACCTAGACTTAATGGAGAAGAATACCGAAGGTTTTTACAATTTGTTTTACCTGGACCCTTAGAAGAAATTCCAGTCATGGAAAGATTCCGTATGTGGTACACGCACGATGGTGCTCCACCACACTTTAGTGTAGTGGCACAGCAATTTTTGGATGATAATGACCATAATCGCTGTATTGGGAAAGAAGGCCCACACCCATGGCCACCGCGCTCGCCCGAAATGAATCCCTTAGATTATTTTCTCTAGAAACACCTTAAAGCGTTGGTGTAGAAAACTGCTATTCAAAGTGAAGATTTACGGAATAAAATAATTAATGCATGTGACATAATAAAAAATACGCCAGGTATTTTCAGAAGAGTGTGAAATTCAATGATGCGGCGGCTAGACGGTTGTATTGAAGCCGAAGGATGCCATTTCCAACACCTAATTTAGTGCAATTCGTTAGTCTGGACGTTAATGTTACTTAATATTTGTTGTTATTGTCACATAATTAGTGATGAAAAATTGTAAAAATAATAATTTCCAAAAAAAACATTCAATTCCCCATATCATTCCTTGTGAGGTCAGGGATATGCAATTAGGTCGACTTTTTTTTCTTAAAAACTAAGCAAGATACGAAAAAAATTCAAGAGACAAAAAAGTTGTATTTCGAAATGCTCAATCCAAAGTAATAATAAAAATTGCCCAAAGTCAGTGGCGTACATTTGAAGTCAAAAATATTCGTTCAAATCCTGCTCGAGACGCTACTGGACTTAATAAATTGAATCACGTTCAGGCTAAATCAGCTCCTTAATGTTATAAATACCATTGTCAAATTACAACAAAATTAGGAAAAGAATATTTAAGATATTTACGAATAACCTTTTTTTATTTTTATTTCAACACCCTGTATCTTGAGAACGAAGGATTTGCGGACCCATGTTTATATGAACATATCGTCTTAAAATTACCTAAAGAATCATCGGTTGAATTTATGATACATACTTAATTAACACCCTGTATTTAATTTTTTTCCGAAAATATTTTCGCAACAACATAAAAACATAAAAAAGTGGCACATATTATTGACTCCATTTTACGGTAATGATTACAAAATCTCAAACAGTAATGAACGATAAACTTCAGGTGCTCACTACTGGAAGATTTTTTAATTGCTTTCTAGAAGACAATATTGCCCATACGTCCATTGAATTTTCGAATCGATTCTGAAAAAAATATTTGTTTTCGGAACCATCTGAAGCAGTGGAATTTGCCAAAAAATACAGTGCACTTTTGAAAACAGATATTTTCATCAAGCAGACAACTGAAAAGAATAAGAGGGACAATGAAACAACGTTCGATTCAAATGTACCAAGTCGCTTGAATACCTCACGTGAAAGTATCTATGGAAGAGAAATGAATTAATATATCTACCCTTTCGTATTTGTCAAAATTACCGTACCGTAATATTTTCAAAAACATTAAGGTCATACAGCGCATCCCAACTTCTTGAGTACTTCTGTCATATCTCTTCGATGTGTCGGCTTAATGTGCGTGTTTCCAAGGGTCCAACAACTAAGTAGACATTTGCCTAACGTATTATCTCATAATTCCTGGGTTGTGTTTAAGTTGTAGTTCGCTGGACTCACCCCGTGATATATAGAGCCGCCGCACTTCTAATGTGTACTTAAGTTATTTACCGGCAGCAAATGGGTCGTCTATGGTCGGTGCATATTACGGAGATCCGTTAGCACTCGAGATTTATTGCGGCAAAGTTTTAAGGCTTTCGGTAATATTGTTTGTCCATTGAAGCTCAGAGGTGTTTTTCAGGAATAGGTTCAGTATGAACGATTGAAGAATGCAGATGCGGCATCAACAGAATACGCAATAAAAACTCATAATTTTATATACAGCATCCTTTCTTTCTATCAGAAAAAAACGAAGATTGAACAATTTACGTTTGCGTTCAATCAAAGAGATTTTTTGTTTGGATGATAGCTCGCTTCCAGTGTATCGAAGAGAGCTAGTTGAACGAATGTGAATTGTTGATAATTATTTCTATTTTCAAATCGTTTTGACAGTTTACGCTGTTTACATGTTGTTTATTGAAAAGCTTATACGGTTTCAATTCTTTTATACTTATGTACTTCACAAATAGTTGTTTTCACAATTAATACACTTTTAGCAATAGTAAGAGATAGGGTAGCGGTTAAATTGAGGCAAAATTGATGATTTTAGTGTATATTAGTTCAAACGAGCTACCCTATATGAGACCATTGATATTGAGACTCGGAATGAATCGTGATACACGTCAACTTTTAGTTCTGTATCTCTGTATCTGTGAAGTAGGAATGGTGAGTGTAGACCCACAGCACTTAGGCCACATGTGACCCATTGTACATCCTTCCGAGGAGTTGTCCTCCTAGGTCATCGACCATCCCGTCCTTTCTAGGAAAGTGGACAGATCACTAGGAGATATATCCTTTATATTGGCCAACACACACTCTCTTATTGACGATAACTCCGGATACTCGCATAGGACATGCCTGACAGTTTCATCTTTCTGTTCACACATCCTGCATAGAGATGTGTCCACTAGACCCATATTATGGAGGTGTTTTCTTAGTTAACAGTGGTCAGTCAGAAATCCTACTGTTAAGCATAGATTTTTCCTGGTCATCGCCAAATATTTCTTCGGCGCCAGCTTTTCAGGTTCGCCCAGGGTGATCCTGGCAAGATTGCGTCATTTGATTGGATGGAGCATAGGTGTGACGTTTGGCTAGTTCCGCAATTGTCGAAGTCATCAGGCCGTAGGAGTCACTGGGTCCTAAATTTCTTAGTCCAACCGCTTCCTTGACTAAAGAGTCGGCATTGCGATTACTTTTACTCCTGTCGTACCCTTTAACCCACCTCGGGATAATGTTATTATCTACCGAGGCTTTGGCTAAATCTTGGTGGTACTCTAGTACTAGCTAGAGGTAACACGTTTAGTTACTAATTGGTAGGAAATCATTATGACGAGAGGACGTTTTTTACCACTTTTATTTCTAACTAACATTAGTGCAGTTTCGTCCTATAACGACATTTCCAAACTTATAGATTAAACTTTAATGTATAAGATCATTTTCAAACTTATACATTAAACTTCAATGAATAAGTTTGAAAATGTCCTTATATAATCTATACGTTTGAAAGTGTCCTTATAGGACGAAACTGTAGTAGCGTTAGTTACAAACAAAATTAAAATTCAATCTATTAGTTTAATGTATGAGTTTGAAAATGTATTATCTAAAGACTTTGCAAACTCATTATATGCCAAATCTTTCAATAATTGTCTTAATAAATATTCATTCTTTGTACTGCTCTCGAAGAGAATAAACGTTTTCTTGAGTCTTGTGTGAAATCGATTTTTATTTTTGAAAACTAAGTTTTCAATTTCCAATACATAATTGGTGCAGCCGGTAGGATTCTCGCGGTGGTGAAAAAGAGCATTTGCATTGCGTCGAAAATCGTTTTTGTGTCTTTGAAGTTTCAATTTCTTCAGCGACGATCGAAGAGAATAAAAGTTTTCTTGAGGCTTATGTGAAATCGATTTCCGACACATAATTAGCTGCCGGACTGAGTCATGGCCGTTGAGAAGTACCTACCTTCGAATTCACCTGTAAACTGCTTTTTTATATCTACAGAAACCCAAGTAGCATTTTAATATCAATTTATTGTGTACCCCTTAAACCGCACTATGTAAAATTGCAAACAAAAGGTTCTATTCCTTTTTCCGTAATACTTTCTCTGTCATACACCGACCCAAACTTTACGCAGATATGATTTCTCCCACCGGCCATGACTCAGTCCGGTAGCTGTTCAACTCTCTCAATGAAAATCCTAAACCTGCTTTTCTTCGACTTCCATATGCGTAAAAAAACAAAACCATTTTACTTACTTTTTCTTGAAGTTAGCTCCACAAACGGAACACAAAAACGCACTGGGTCCAGTGACAGGCTTCACTTTGATATTTCTTGCATGATTCTTGATGTGAAACTGAAGATTGCTCTTCCTGGCAAACGACTTGGTGCAAACGTTGCACACGTATGGTTTTTCTTGAGTATGTTGTCTGATGTGACCTTGGAGAGAGGCCTTTGGAAATAACTTTTCGCAAACTGGACATTTGTACTTCGGTGTCGGTTTACTTCTTGTGTCTGTTCCGGTGTCTGAAGAATACGAATATGTCAGTGATGGTTGATCGTGAAGGGCCATGTGGAAGAGGAGTTCAGCTGCGGAGTTCGAGGAGAACATACATTTGTCACACCGTAGAGAGTGGGGTTCGTTTTCTTCTCTTTCTTCGAATTTGCAAGATTTCAGACGGAGGTGAGTTGTGAGTTCTTGGGATATGATGAAGTTTGCTCCGCAGTGGGGACATCTGTGAAAATATTTCAGTTACTTGGAATCATAGATAATAATAAATAAACATTACTTCAATGAATATGGAAATGTAACAAAACAAAGATTTCTGTTTCTAATCTAAATCAACAGTGACTAGGCAGGATATTTCAGTTTCTCAATATGCTCCATGAAAGACATAAGTGGTAAATATTGTTGTAAATTATCGATTGAAATAAAATTACGTCGGCCGCCGCTGGTCTTCGTCAATCGACTGTGACTTGGACAAAGTCGCGATCAACTCGACTTGCGCTTCTCAATAGTTCTAGATGTCGCGTCGCGTCGAGAGACTTCCCTATCGGCTTCTAGATACTTTTTTCACGTTATATGAATACTACCAATAGACAGATGAGGGTGTGTAGTTGAAAGTGCAGAACGATGTGAGCTAACAAGGCGATAGACATTCGATTAATTGTACAGCGTAATCAGTCATTGTCAGGCCCACGGGGAATACGTAATAATATATTAAAAATTATTAAATTCGTATGTCTTCGTCCCACCATCCTGAAATGACTAATTCACAGTGAATAGAGGGACGAAATAAACTGATGAATATAAATATTGAAATTTTGATTGATGCAACTAGTTTTCCTTCATTTTCAGTATTTTAATATCAACATTTGTTCACAAAACGGATTTGAAGCTTCAATAACTTCTAATTATTATATGCGAGCGCTTTCGATAGCAGGCTGTGCTATCATCTTCATAGCTCTACTCAAACTGAATGTGTAATCTTCTTGTTTGTTCTTTTATAACGTAAGAACGTTTAAGTGCAGGTATTTGTCTTCTCCTTTCATCCGGATGTCTTTTTAAATTTGCCTGTACTTGGGTAATCCCCTTTGTGTTGGTGTTTCTCTAGGTATAATAATCAAAACACACGATGAAGAAGGAGAATGATTCAGATAGGTTGACGATGGCCTGTACATATCCCAAAACAAAGGAATAAGAATAGAACAAATAACAGGGGAAATTAACAAAATAAATCAAAAACTGATTTTCAGCATAAAGGAAAAAAACGACTCGAAACTGAACTAAGTGAACATAACCATCAGATATAACCACAACAAAACAAAATTTCAAATGGCAATACAGGCTGATTCACGGTGGATGGCACATTAGACGTTTCTGATGAACCAGACAACGGATCAGTTTGAAAATTTAATGGAGGGCATATTCGGACATTCTCTAGCCAACTAAAATATTTTCGACAATGCGGTGTTGCCGCTTCTATTAGAAAGCAGTAGCAACTTTGAACAAAATAGCTGCCTATAACGCTTTCATATACAGAATACTAAGGATACCACTTTGCAATGAAGATCTGAACAAGGAAAGGAAAATTATATACCACATAGCAAACGAGAACGGATACACCCAAAAGACAATAAATAAATTGGAAAATAGAATCAAATTAAAAATACAAAACAAGGATCCAACTAATCCAACAGATGAAACAACACAACGACTGCATTCACATACCTAGGTCACCAAACCAATAAATTAACAAACATCTTCAAACCCTTGAACATCAATATCACTTACAAGCCGAACACGAAAGTAACACAAAAAATAAACAGCTATGAAAAAGAAGAAGACAAAAACCTAAACAGAGGGTAAAACATACAATACTCGGACTGCAACAAATTCTATATCGGCCAAACCAAGAAAAAACTGATCCAAAATAAAGACGAGCATAAAGAAGCATACATAAACGAACAAATCAAATCTCGCAACACACGCCATACAAAACAAACATAACTTTCCCCCACCAAACATCAAACTTATAAAACAAGTCAATAAAGGAAACCGTATGGACATCTGGGAAAACCTAAACATCCATAAATATCATCGGCTAAAAGAGAAAACTTCACGTGATCGAACCTTGGAAGGTCGCTCACGTAAACGCTGTACATTAGTGGAGACAGAGCAGCTCCCTGAGGCACTCCGGCTTGGAGTGGAGCTAACTTCAAGAAAAAGTAATTAGAATGGTTTTGTTTTTTTTACGCATATGGAAGTCCTGCAGGAGACAGGGTTCCTTCAACTAGGACCCCCCATGCCCCCTCCCGGGTTGAGTGCCCTGGAGTAAAATCTTCGCCCCACAAAATAAATTTTGTGAGAAAAACTTAATACTAATACTGATGGGCACTTCAGCAAGATTAACATCTGACCGTCTTTGGTCGAAAGTCAGCCTCTAGGTGCTTTTACTTTCTGATCTGCTAATTGATTTATCATGACTTTCCTAACTGAATTATTGCATAGGGCTTCAACTCGGACCTGTGTGGGACTGTGGATACACCGGTTCTGATCTGGCATTTATGTCCGCGGAGAAGTGGAGGGGGAGAAAGGTAGTGGGAGCGATGGTGAAGTTGGTAGTGGGAACAGAGGTATGACTTGCAGAAGCGATGTGTGCAGTATTGCAAGATGTATGGCGTGACTTTGATCATGGATATCATTACAATGTTGTTTATAATGGGGCTGTTGATGAAGGAACACAACTAATTCTCATGTATTCCGAAATTGTTCACAACTTCTGTACAATGAAATGAACTCCAGGATAACTGAAATGCTGGAAAAAGATGGCAACCCCACAAAAAGCCAATTGATGTTGCATCAGAAAGAGGTACCTTCTCACATAGTTGCTTCCGTTGATCAACTCTCGAACGAAAAGTTTTCTAGACGGCGAATTGGCAGGCAAAGTGTCATGGATTGGCCTTCTAGATTACCCTATCTCACACCGTTAGATTTTTTAATACATTGAAAACCAAATTTCCAATCGAAATTACATTTTTGAGATGATCAGTAAATAACAGCAATATATGTTGAGTAATGAAGATCAACTGTATTTCTGTAATATGGTTAATGGAGGACAGTTTCAATATTTGATGCAATAATTTTCTAATTTTCTTGAAAACGTATCAATAAAAATTTGAAAAAGAAGTCATATAGTGAAAAAATACCTTTCCATCAAAGTATCGACTCAATTTCTGATAAAAAATTATGAGGTGGTTCCAGAGGTAGAGGAATGTATTCAGAAGAGGCAAGAAAATGAAGGTGAACTGTTTTCGATGGGACACCCAGTGAATTTATATTAAATGTTTCAATATCTAATAGTTTCGGAAAGATTATTAGCATAGATGGACTTTTGAACAGTACTGAAATGAGTGTTTTTTCAATCATTTGTTTATAAAGTCACATATTTAATTTGATTTGAAACAAGTTATCTCTATCATATCTGATACGTACCTAATTTTATGTTCAGGGTGAGTTTTCTGCAAATGTTGCTTCAGTAACAAAAAATTGGTGAATGTTTCCTTGCAATATTCACATGTTTTGGCACGACTTCCTTCTGATTTTTGGCCTAAACTGCAATACTTGTGCTGAGCAGATGTCCTGTGTTTCTTTGCTTCCTCTTTATCACTGAATTTAAGATTACAGGGAGTGCATATGTAGTACTTGATCTTGTGCACAATTTGTTTGTGACGCTTTAAAGACACACTGGACAAAAACCCGATACCACAGATATCGCATAAGAACTCGTTTACGAATTTTTTCACAACTGAGTCATCGTGGTTGAATTTTCTGCAATGATTGAGGAGTTGCATGTTCAACATGAACTCCTTACCACAGGTGAGACAGCTAATAGGGTGAATATTCTTTAGAACAATCGGCACAGATCTGTTGATCACAGACACTACCTCTGTGTGTTGGGGAGAAATCAAATGGTCGTACATCGTTTGAGTACTTTCACTTCGGTGCTTGCACATTATGCAGTAAAAATAGCCAGGAACAATTTTTCTAGCGTGATCACCGGACAACCAGTGTCTCAAAAAGTCTCCCTGGGTGTTGCAGTAGAACTTACAAATGCTACATTGGAACGGACTTTCTAGTACTACACTGTGGATATTCTCCAGAACCATTTTCTTCGCTTCCTCCGATGTTATATCCCCTCTCCGGCAGTGATAATGGGAAATCAGATGCTTTCCCATGAAGTATGCATGTACTTTGGTATGGCAAACCGCGCATCTCACATATATCTTTTTCCGGTCTTTTCTTTTCTTGGTTTGCTGGAATATTTTATCTTCAGGACCAAAGTCAGGTATGTTCAGTTTCAGTTCGGTCTTTGGTCTCTTTTTCGAAGATATTTCATCACTTTCGTCAAATTCTTTATCGAAGGACGTTCTCTTTAGATGAAGTTCGGATTTAAGATGCCTTTTGTACACCACTTTTGAGGCCAATCTTCTGTTGCACGGACTGCACCAGTACTGTATGGCTCCACTAGATTTTCTCAGAGGCGAAGTGTCGATGATACTCGGATTGTCTTTATTTTGCGTTCTTGGTATGAATTTTCCTTTAGTGTGAGTTTCTTCTGGGGTACTGGGATCGATTGGTTTCTTGCCAGAATCGCTTTTCTTTGGGATTTTTGAAATACTTTGTTTTTCCTCAGACGAAGAAGGATACAGTATTCGTTTCTCTTTCAACTTCGATCTGAAAGTAGACGCTTCCTGGATACCAGATTTGAAATTATGTTCCTCTGTAAAATGAATAAATACGTTTATAGGGTAGAACGTAGTCATGCGTATATTGAATTATATTATATATGTGCGAAAAAGTCTAATCGTTTTTTTATGAACAAAGTCTAAGGTCAGCTAAGGACCCCAGAGAACCTTTAACAACCAAATTCCTTGTAGCTGCGGGTCGACCTACATTGGAACCACGAAAAGAAGTGTGGGTACCAGTCTCTCTGAACACAAGAAAAATTGTCAACTCGGAACAACCGACAAATTAGCTGTAACCGAACAAGCTCTCAACAAAGAAGACACTCACATTTTCTCATTCGATGATATATTGATAGTCAATAATACTCAAAATTTCTATACAAGAGTATATAAAGAGGCAATAGAAATTCAAAAATACAGGAATGATTTCAATAGAAAAGAAGAGGCAATGAACATTAATGAACTCTGGCCGCAGTAGTGGATGAAACGTCAGACATAAAAACTTGGAGATCACGGAAAAAAAACAGAAAATAACTTTCAAAGAGTTAGCTCTGGTCGTGAAATTTCACACTATTTGAAGAATATGTTATTGCAATGAATTGATTACACACAATCAGAATAAATTTGAGTTGAATGTTTTCAGATAACCAAGCTATACAGACATTACCATCCCAAGCGATTCTTTCCATCCAGACAGTCATACATTTGCAGGCTACAATTCAATGTTACACAGAGCATTCTCACTGCCTTTGTCTGCTAACAATCTAGCTAGGGAAATTGATATAATTACACAAAGAGGTCATAATAATGGTTTCAACGCAGAAGTTAGTCAGAAAACAAAGCCGTAAATTCTCTAACAGATTAATAATATACCGTCAGGTCAAACAACCAGAAATCATGAAATGGGTAACTCTAACATATTTTGAAAAAAGAACAGAGATAATTGTGAGTTTCTTCAGAAAAAACAATGTGGAAGTGGCATTCAGATCACATGCCAGGTTATCTGATTTCCTTTTCAATGCCAAAGATAAGGTGGACAAGTTGGATAAATCTGGAGTTTATAAGCTTGAGTGTCCGGAGTGTAAAACGGTATGCTGAACATGAAAGGTCCTTCAGACTAGGAAAAAATGATTCGACGTTTTCAAACCATTCCTTGGCATGCAACCATGTGTTCCCGAATCTAAACGATACGAAAATTTTGCACTATGCAAGGAAGGGTTACAACCTCAATTATTTAGAATCCTTGGAAATTCACAAGCATAAACATTGCGAGTGCAACCTGTTAAATGATCAAATCGATTTAGTTTACTCACCGGTTTTCAAATTAGCACATTCGCATTATAAATACAGGTACTCAATCAAGCCGAGTACCTCTATTATTACCTACAGAGGTGCTATATAAGGGCTAATGTAATAAACCATTTTTAGTTTAATGTATAAGTTTGAAAATGTCTTTATAAGACGAAACTGCAGTAACGTCAGTTACAAATAAAAGTGATAAAAAATATAGAAACTTTTTCAATTCTCACTATTATTACTGTATAATCTTGATGATTGATAATTTCTCTCACTACTTAGTTGAATATTACTGCAGAAGCGATATTCACTACAATAGTTAATAGTGAATAGTGAAATTTACGCCATTTCTTTTTATAACAGTCAAAACTGTTCTAGATATACTCTTTGATTTTTCAATACTAGTCATGCAGAAAGTAATATTTTTCCTTGAGAAAATTCGTGTGAAGATTCAACAAGTTGTGTTGAGTAATTTCACCTCGAACATTTATTATCTAACTTGCCAGCATGATAAATTCCATTTCACAGATTGCAAACAACATTATCGGTGTTCAATCTGAACGAGTTACTTCGAAATAATTTGATTCCCTGAGTTAGACTGTGAACAGAATACAAGATGATGAAAATATTCAAATGTTCCCAAGAAATCAGTACCTACCTCTAATGTCACTTGGAGGTGAGACGATACCACTGGAGCTCTTGGACTTTCCTTTACCGGTAGAGGGAGGTAAAGTATAATCGTATTCCGATCTGGTTTTGATCTTTAATTTTGATGTTGAAGGCGAAGATATACCATGGTAATCTTGTCGCTTTGATGAAACCCATTTACTTCCCGTAAAACTTGGTGGTGGAACATCTGCAAAATCTTGCTTCTTGGTTTCAGGCGGAGATGATGATAATATGTCGTCTTTTGGAGATTGAAACGGTTTTACTTTTTCTTTCGTATCGCTTGTGGATGGTGAATTAGGCCGTTTCGAAGTGGGTTTCCATTTTCCTCCGGTGTGAGATGAAGGAGGTACTCGCCAGTCTCTGACTTCGGATTTTTTAGACCATCCTACGGGAGATGTTGGTTTCCACTTTCCTCCTGAAAAATAAAATATACAATTTTCTTCTAGAATTGCGTTGAGTAATTTTTAAATCCAAAATCTCAAAACTACCAGACATACGCCATTTCAGCTGAACCAAAATACAAAGGAACCCTGGTGTTTTCAAGGATTCGCTTTTGTTTTATCGAAAGCTCTTAACGCGATTAATAAGATTACCCCAACTTCGTGCACACGTTAATAGATGTTGCTGGAATCAAAATCTGCAACAATGGTTGCGTCTATGAGAAAAAACAAAACGCGCCACAAGAAATGCAGCTTTGAGACGCTCTCTGAATTTTAATTCTTAATTTTGCGGCTAGAATTAGCAATTACCTACTATCTACCACATTCAGGGGTAAGTAGCTTCAACCGTTGGAAGCTGATGGACACAAGTAATTTGTTTTTTGTTTAGACATTTTCAAATGGTCACCTGTCACATGTGCTGCTCCAAAGTGTGATAATGAATGCAAGTGTATTTCCATAATTTTATTTCAATTCAAGATTGTTGAAATTAGTGAAAAAGTCCCGCTCTCATGATACAGCAAGTATACGCATGACTTATCTATATGATCGACGGTTTGAAGTGTCGATAATCGACAGTTTTAACCGACATTTATAGCTGAGGTTTTTATTTTCCCTATGAAAAATCAAATATAGAACTTTATTCTAGTGAATAGAACTCCACCGATGAATATTTCAGTCTAAGATCTCAAAGTTGCCAGTCCTGCGTGTTTTCAGCAAAGTTGATATTTTAACGACAATGAATATATGCAGACTTGGTAGCTTGAAACGAAAAGCTTCTACCACCTTTTAACACCAAACCGTTATTTTTAACACCTCGACACGTGTTTCAATAACTAAGTGATAATCTTCAAGAGGAAAATTAAACTAAATTCATCACAAGGAAATATATTGTTGTCTCCTTGCATCGATAATATGCAAAAAACCAAAATATGACCTAACTATTACATAAGGACACATTGTAAAATTGTGATCAGGCAATATTGTGAAGTTACTTTTATATAGCTTATATTTTAATTATTAGATTCACTTAACTATTACATAAGGACACATTGTAAGATTAATTTAAGACTAGTAGATTGTGAAATTTGTGAAATTTGATCAAGAAGATATTGATTCAAAAACTTCTTTCTTAGTCAATAATCTAACGAACTTATTCGACAGGCATGCACCTTTCATAAGATCAAGGATGAGTAGACCCAGCGCACCGTGGATTACAGATACTGTAAAGGAAATGATATCTATTAGGAACAACGTAGGTTTAAACGGACGAAATCAGAAATCCATCTTCATTTCTGTAAACATATGCGGATGTGAATAAAGCCATCAAACGAGAAAAGCAGGCATTTTTCTCATTCAAATTCAATAATAGTACTTCCAAGGATATGTGGAAAACTCTAAAACAAACCAATATTGTTACTGGAAAATCAACCAGTTTTCCAGAAAATATGAAAAACCCTAGGGAAATCAATGATTTCTTCATCAATTCAACACCACACTTGGAGCCACCTGAAGAACTATTGAATTTTTACAGACACAACCGTCTCGTTAAAACAGAATTGCACTTTAAAGACGAATGCAGCTAGTTGTGATGAATTAAATATTAGACTAATCAGACTTTGTTGTCCACATATAATTGAGTATATCACCCATATTATAAACACTTGTCTCCTTGAGGGTGATTTTCCGGCAACTTGGGGTAGAGCGCTGGTTAAAGTACTGCCAAAAAAATCAAACCCTGTTGAATATAAAGATCTTCGTGCTATCAGTATCTTACCTACTTTGTCAAAAATATTAGAGCGCGCGATGGAGAGGCAGTTATCAGAACATCTTTCGGAATTCAATATACTGCCACCTGTTCAATCGGGGTTCAGAAAAGGATACAGTTGCACAACCGCTCTCCTGCACGTTG